TCCTGGCTGAACCCAGCACAACCTGTTAGAATACAGATCAGTTCTTAGGGAATTGTTTCTGCCTTGCCATTTCCAGGCACGTCTCTTAAGTGTCCTTGACCATTTTCTGGTTTCTAGTTATTGTTACTATTGCTGTAGAGCTCAGAGTTTACAAGGTATGGCTCAGAAATTCAGGTATTAAAAACAAACAAACAAAAAAACCCACCACCAACAACAAAAAAACCCCTCTTTGCCTTTATGACTCTTTGTAGGCCACATAACCACTGAGGCTACTGGGATTAGGTGTGGACTAGTGCTCTGGATTCACAGGGCACAAGTCCAGAAAGCACCATTAAATCCTCCTGCTGACCTCCTTTGTAACTCCAGCTGCTCAGTTTCACCAGCTGAAGCTGAAATACAATCTCAAGTATCACTTCTGTTCTATATAACATATGTCTTGAATTTGAAAACCAGGAGTGTTTATATCCAGGCCCAGCATCATAGCCGTAGTAGAGAAAAAACTCTCTTCAAGTATGTCCAAGGTTGAAGCTTTAACCTTCAACAGCCTAAGCAAGAATTTTACCTTTTGCACTAAGAAGCACTCTCAAACGAGCTGCTCACTTCAGGTTTCATTGTTTTTAATGTGTGCCTGATGAGGGCAGTCTGTGGCAGCTTCTAGACAGAGTTTGGTTTTACCTCAGGGCAGATCTGCAGCACATCCTGACGTTTCCTAACTCAGTTCCTGGTGTGTTGGCTGAGAAAACTGCTATCTTTTCTGTAAGAGAGGTTTTGAATTTCCCTAGTTATTTTCCTAGGCTCACACTGAGATACAGACAGTTTATGAGAAGGAGCAGAGAGTGCTTCCCAACTTGTAAGCATTTGATTCAGTTGCCAAAATCTGGATGCCACTCTGAGACTTTCCTTACGGACCCTGGATAAAGAGAGGCTTCTCCAGGGTGTGTGGTGGAGGAGGGCCTGCCAGGAGGTTTAGGTCCTGTGAACTTCTATGTCGTGAGTTTGTGCGGTGCATTTCTTGTAGAGGCTTGCCTGCCTTCCGGGATGGGGGTGGTGTTAGTGTCCTGTCTTGGTGCAGCATCTCTGCGTTAATCTCGGCTCAGTACAACCATGTGATAAATGTGAAAGTTTGGTGACCATACTGGTGCGGAGTTTTGGGTACAGGGGTCTGAGTTAGATTCCCCTGCTGTGCCCCTGTAAAAGAAAAGAAACACTAAGAGAAACAAAACATGGAGTCTAGGACTTGTATTGGCTGCTGGCACATGGGCAACGGCAAGAAAAGTTGTGATGGAAACTGAGATGCTTTGAATAACTTTGCAAAGTTTGTCTGTGGGAGGGAAAGGGTACTTGAAGTTCAGGCCTGTCAAAATGCAAGGTTTGTGATTTGAAGATGTTATGTTGCGCATTAAAGTTTAAAAAGATGTAATCAGTAATGACATGCAGACAATCCTGCTAGGCAAAGAGAAATGTAACAAGTAAGGTGAAAGTTAATGTTTTCCATGTCTCTCCAGGCTAAAAGTGAGCAAATCAGTGTGAGACACCTAACATCAGGAAACTGGGAAGTTATCAAAATCCTGGCATATGATGAAAATACTCAGAAGATGTAAGCACTATTCTGTCTGTTTATGGAAATATCTGTTATCAAAGTGGAATCCATTTAACTGAAAATAGTGCATCTAAAATTAAGTAACAGTGTATCTTTCATTTTTGAGCATTACCATGAATTTTATACTCTAAAGTACATAAAATGCAGTTGTTGGACAATTTACCTGCCACTGTGTTATTGCATTTGTTTTTATGCAGAGGGAAAAGGAGCACACCATGACATCAGTTGACTCACTTTATTTTTAACTAATGAAATCAACACACAATGCATCAGCAATAACATTTTGGTGGCTCTTTCCTGGATTCCAGAATCTTCGTGCATCTTCTTTCATGCTTGCTTGGTTACTGCATGAGATCTCTGGACTTTGAGGATCTGATTCATCCTAAATTCAAATTATATAGAGCAGTTACCCAAACCCCTGATTTTCACCCTGATCACTGAGAGAGAAATCTTTCCAAAACCCATCTTAGCACTATAGTGGAAAGGAAGTGCAGGATATACTTGGTGATTTTTGGGAGCAGTAAAGAACTGGCACAAAACATCTGAAGGCTCCGCATAACTTCAGTGGATCTTGGTTAGTCTTCATGTATATCTGCACACAGCTAAAAATAAACACATGTATCTAATTCAATTTTCTTTAAAATAAATGATATTTCAGCAAGGAAGGACCTTTCTGAGGCTGCAGTGATGCCCATCATCTCCAATGGTACTGGAGAAACACCCTTTATGACCAGCACTTCCATGGGTTTTGAAAATATATCCATGGAGAATTCCTTGATACATACCCAAAGCTCAGATGAAAAATAAGGTCTGGATGCACTCAGCTTGCAGAGAGGTGGCAGACTGCATGTAGGTTGTCTCAGCCACCTTGGAGACAACCTTCCTTACTCTCCTTCTGCCTCTCAGGCAGAAACTTTGTGGGATCACACGAAGGACTTGTCTTGATATTCTTGCAGCAGCTCTACTAAGCCTCTTTCTACCCACACAACCTTGTCTGTAAACCATTGCCTAGGATGCTAGCTTCCACCTCTAGACAGAAGTTGTTCTGCTGCTCAAAAAGGCTTTCAGGTATCATGAGACCTATTGCAATTTATGATATAATTTCACTGTGACCTTTTTCTACTCCTTGGGTTTATATTGCAAACTCTTGTAATGAAGGAGAAACTTTCTCTTCTGTATTTGTAATATGCAGAAAGGGCTTCTGGTTGCTACTGGATCTTCTGAGTTAAACAGAAGCCAAGAAATACTGTATTCATGACTGTTTTAAGATGAATTAATATAGCATCTAAAATAGCTCCTCTGTATACTGGGTCTGAGTTTAATCATGGAGTTTAGGTTTGTGTATAAAGTATTTGATCTTCATGTATATTTGGGGGGTTTTCATTTTTAAAAAAGTTATTTATGATGTCTCTCACTTCTCTAAACACCACCTAGATCAGACAGTTTGCCAAACTGAGTTTAACTTTGTTCATCTTTTGGGCACAGTTATTTCTTAAGCACTGAAGAATCCCCAAGAGGAAGACAGCTACATAGGTAAGAGGGACATGAGGCTGTGTTAACAGCTTCCTTCTCACAAGCCATAAGTGCTATGATGACTTTTTGTGAGCTTAGTTCTGGCTTTGGGGCTTGTGTAATCATTTATATTATGCAAAAATTAGTACACTACAGCTGTGACAAGGAAAGAATTACAGTTGTTTTTCAAAACTATAAATGCCAATGATATTTTACATTTTTTTAAGGATGAAAAAGATTTTAACACAAAATGTTTTTACCACTTATGTCTTCACTAGTCCTCTATAAACATCTAAAAAGCTACACCTAAATGCAAGCATGTAATATGTCTGTATTTTAAAAAGTAGTAAAAATCTGCTAAATAAAAATAATATTGATGGGATCTAATCGTGTGGGCAAAGCCCCTCCTCCTTACACAAACCTCAGTGCTTAAATCTGAAGTTAACGAGGTGTTTGATGGTGTCCTGCTAACGTCGTTACCCCGCAGCACTGCTGGTTATTGGAACTGCAGTTCTGCTTTCGGCAGGTTTTGGATCATGTCCACATTGCCCAGTTCACAGAACAGTAGTCCACTGAGTCATCTGAAAACAGTGTGCATCAAGCACAAAACAAGACGGTGGTATTTTGGCAAGTTTAGGGACTGAAAAAATTTTATCAACTCTGAGGAGCTAATTCTTGGTTTATTGTATTTTATTCCAAGACACAAACTGTTTCTGATCCATTTTTTTCCCCAGTGTATCAACAGTGGGATCATTGAATCGTCACTGTCTCTCGTGCAACTTCTTGAAAGACCAGTGCTCGTACTTCAGTGCAAAGTTTAGCCCCATGAATAGGCATTTTTTACTGCACTGTAAAGGTAAGTCAAAAGCACAGTGTGTAATAATACTGTGTTTGCTTCTGAATTAATGTATTCCCTTGAGAAGGGCATTAGGCTGCAGTCTAACATTTAGCTCAGTAGTGGATTACTCCAAGTTCTCTACAGAGCTTACTGCAAGACTGTAAGTAAAGATGTTCTGTATAAAAGCTAAATAACAAGAGCTGTCAGCTGGCTGCTCCAGTCCTAACTCTTCAGTCTTAGTAAAGGACACTGACTTATAAATTTACCCTGAATAAAAAACCTTCACAAAAGAATGTGGAATTCATAGTGATGATACTGTGGTTCGTAACGGCTTTATTACAGTAATTATTGTGATTGGTCATGTGCAACTATACCTAGTTAAAAAACGAGGGCCTGCTATCTGCAACACTGTGTCTGTATGTGTGTATGAATGTATGGGTGTATCTGTACACACTCACCCATATATATTGTATATATATGTGTGTGCGTATCTACCCAAGAAATGGTATGGTTTAATCCACATAGACCAATCCTCGTTATCAGCAGAACTGCAATTATTAACCTTTAGCTTTTAATTGTTAGCTTCATTCCAGTAGCACTAAATGGCACCAGTTGTGTTCAGAGCTGGTATGTATAAACAGAAAATTAGAACCATCCCACACAGGCATTCATAACCTACACCCAGGAAGTAAACACTGATAAATAAGTAAGATTATAAGAACAGGGTCAGAAAAGCGTGAGACAATCAGTAATAAAGTGTATAGCTAGACCTGTTGACCTTGGAACTTGCAGTATTCTACAGGCAACCTTCTCCCAGTATTTTTATTCAACTAGCATCAGATTGAAAACAATAGAACACAGTTCATCTGAAATGCATGTGAATAGCCCATTCTATTTGCATGCTTTTTTCCTATTTCTTTTGCAACTGTACATTTTTTTTTCCCACAAAAATAAGATATCTGCCTGCTTGAGAATTGAATCTATTCAAACAATCAAACTATGAATATATATTGGCTAAAATAAGGTTGTGGTTGTTGGTTTGTTTTTTTTTTTTTTTCTTATGGAAGTTCACCTATAATACATAGCTGATTAGGAAAAAAAAGAATGCACCAGCTCTGTGGTTTATACATGGTTAAAGCTGCAGCAGAAGTTATGGAGCTAATACTGAGACCCTTATCTGAGTAAAGGCTGCACTGGTAATGAGCTCCTTGTGATTTAAGGAGGGTTTTCCCTTGTGCTTGACATGGTCCCTATGGGGAAAGTCTCAGATTCCTGCAAGAGGGAAGGTTGGTAAATTGGGAAGTTTTTTCCCTGAATCAGCAGTGTGGGCCCAAAACATAGCCTCTTGTTGCTATTTTAGCAAACTATATTCAGCCTGTAATTTTATATAAAATAGAAATATGTGGATGCCAGTAGGAGGTTGTATGTGAAATTGCTCACAAGTTCGTGGCTTTCACTGACTTCAGAGATGGCAGGTCTGTGTTTGAGCTGGTAAGACTGTAGATCAGCCCCCCAGGATTTGACCTACACTCCACTGAGTTGCAGCCAGCACACTGCCCTAAGCTGCAGGTGTTGGGCAGGGATGATAGAAAACAGGCATTAAGTTTTCTTACCTCTAACATTAATGTGTAGTTGTCAACTTGGGGTTATTCAGAGGTGCTGTCTTGTGTTTTGTCAGAGCTTGACAATTACAGCAGCAGTGTGGCCCCCATGTACTGCTGCAGCTCTGTGAATTGTCATGTGGGGCGGATATTTGGCAGTATCAAAGTTGATGGCAGCATCCTCACAGAGCAGGTATTAAAACTCTTCTGCAGGGAGTTGTTTGTAAGAGTACGAGGTGAAGCGCTTCAAGGAGACAGATGACACCACACCTACATGCGTACACACTTGTTTTCCAACAACAAAAAACCTGACTCAATTGTTACAAAAGCAATTTGCCCAGAGAAATCCTTGGGGGACTCTGGACTGGTTTGATCTGTACAAGTTTCAACTCTTCCACCTCCTGTTTACCCGTGAGCACCTTTATGAGGATAGTTTTTCCTCCTTAGTTACCCTCAGCCAGGAGATCTGTCTCAGTGTAACAGCTGTATCCATCTCCAGAGACTCTCCTGAGTGAGGTGTTATTTCTAGCCTGGTAGAGGGAGGACCGGCTTTACAGCCTCTCAGTTTTGGCAAGCGTGTCCTTTACACTTATTTTCCACACTGCCTGCGGATTTTTCCCTTAGGACTTCATAAACACTCACAAATGTTAATCTCTCCACTCAAATCCGATACTTCACAAAGGGAGTAATTGTTTTTCCCATTTTATGCAGCAGGAAGTGAGTTGTGGATTTAGTGTTAGTTGTAGGAAGTCTGTGGGAAATCCAGGTGCTGTGCTTCGTTCTGATGAGCTGTAACACAGCGCCTGTAACACAAGTCTGTCTTTCTCTTTTTCTGATCAGTTTTTCAACCTACTATAATCTGCCTTTTTTAAAATCTGTCATCGTCCTTCCATCTTTCAGTACAATAAATAGAGCTGGCCTGGAAAATGCAAATGCTTTCATGTCCAAAAACCGTCTGTCTTAAATCAGAATTCAAAGCAAAATGACAAATTTGGAAGTAAAAAGAGATGGAAAAACAAAACAAAGAAAAAGAGACATCTGAAGAAATTACCTTTTGAAGAGCTAAGGCAGAAAGCTCTGATTTGTCAGCAAGCTACCTGTAAGACTTTCGTCAATAGTCTCCCTTGAGGCAGAGAATGAAATTGATCAAAATCTTCAGTGGAGACTGTCAGAGGCTGTGAATGGCATCATGCTATTTATTTCAGGTATTTAAGTTTCCCTAGGCTCATGCCATAATTAATTGAGAGAGACAACCTCCTCAGCATGAGTCAAAACACATAAATTAAGCTCTGTCTCTGATCTGCTCTCAAAGGGAATATTTTTTTCTCAAAAAAAAGAGGAGCCTGAACTCCTAATTTCAGAGGGTCCATGCCTTCATCTGCCATGGGGTCCTCAGGGGCTTTTCTGCATCATCTTTCCTAGCCCAATAGTGACTGACTGCCTGTAATTCAAACTCGTCAAACAAAGTTAAAACCGTTTCCCATGTACAAATTCCATGTTGGGGATGCAGAAAAAAACCATTCTCTTTTGCAAGTTTACACTAGTGGGAGTCCTCAGAGCAGAGGTAACGATCTCGGCTAAACCTGTGGGTATGCTGAATGTTTGGTCACCCCAGTTTCACGTGCCATCTTGTGTGTTTGCACAGTACTTACTGATGTGAAAAACTATTCTTGGTGCTTTTAGTTTCTCAGTGGTACAGTAAAAATATAGTATCTGACATCACCATGAAATAAGATTAGATTACTTTACACCTATGTTTAATGGTGATGCTTTTGGTCTTCCAGAGCTGAGGTACTAAAGGAGCTTCTTAAACAGATGAGTAAGTGAAATATCTGAAAATTTTTCAACACCTCTGTAGCTTTTCCACAGAAAATGTGACTATTATCATTAATTCACTTCCCAGTCAACCTAAAGTTACTGTTTCTGAATGTCAAACTGCTATATTTTAGATAGTGCTGTTAAGTGCCTCTGTAATATTTTTTGTTCTCAGCTTCTAGCTAACACATGGAGATTTAAAAAGAATCTCCTTGTAGGTGCAGGGGTCTAGACTGCTTGCTGAACAGGCAGAAAGCAGTCTCCATTTCACACTTCGGTAGTGTAGTCTAACCTGTCTCCTTCCCAGGCGACATCAGTGGAGTTACTGCTGTGTTTGAAGGGAGGCACGTATACGGAGCTTCCAGGATCTGACCTTACGTGGTCACTGGTGTTCTCATTCGTTGTTGACCGAAATATGGAGTAGTGATGACCCTACACTTTTTCTGCTTTTCTTCTCCCCTCAAAACAGGGCCTGGCGTTCCAGTTGTTAGCGTGCACAGTACAAGTAATACTGCAAGTGAGTATTCCTTACGGAATAGGTTTATTTTATTGTCCTTGATTGTTCTGGGGAGTGTGGGGAAGGGAAAAGGGAGTTACAAATCAATGAAAACAGGTAGATGGCTCATTCATATAAAGTTCTATTAATTAACTTTTAGCAACATCCACATCTGCAAGTGATAAGAAAAGAAGTTAATCAAATGACTAAAACTTTCCCAGGCTTTTCGGATATGTTTTATGCAAAGTGCATATAATTCATCCTTTGTTTACACTTCAGTTAATTAGATGGCAGGTTGGTCTTCATCCGTTTCCCTTTCTAAGTAAAATATGCTGCCATTATAATACACCTTCTGTATTTTTAGAGATGTTGTTCAAGTTACCATCCAATTATCTTGAAGTAAGGTACAGTCTTTGGGCAATTGATCATAAAATCTGACCTACATACAATGAACTTAGTCATTCTCTTACATTTCTCAAATCAGAGCAGCTCTACTGACATTTTCAGTGGTGACAAATCCAAGAAAAAAGGCTTTTTTAGGAGGGTGTACAATACCTCTAATTTTCAAGTTTTCCTCATTGCTTTCTGTATATTGACACTCAATCTGTTGCTGTTTCCTGGCTGCTTTGTAATGGAAGTGTCCTTGAACAGCAGAATTTTCCTCACTGAGGTATTTCTCCGGTGTAGTAGAGGTAACAGCCCTACTACCTCAAACTCCACTGTGGCTGCATGTAGCATGAAGGTGGCTTAGAGGAAAGGGGACATCTGTCCATTCAGAACCATGAAACCAATCCTTATCTACTCTAATTTCATTCAATAGATTATCCCTGAAATTTTTCCCCAGAATAGAAAAGTCCTGAATTGTACTTATCTGCATCCCTTTTGTCATGGGCTATTCAGCCTTAGCAGTGGACCTAACATTGCATGATGAAGTAGCATACTGATCAGTAGTATCATGCTACCAAGTGTTAATTAATGTTTGCACTTTGGCTTCCTTTTTTCCCTTTTCATTTTTTTTTTAATGTCGCTGTTGGTATTTGCGAAGCCGCGAGAGCACCAAAGGGAGGGAGTTTTATTCAGCTCAGTAAGGGGTAGCTATTACTGCCCAAAGTAAATTCAAGACTCAGTTCAGTGAAGGTAGACTTTTGCTCTTTATTACTTGTGTCTCAAATACAGTTGATAGTGAATTATTGTAAAACAGATTTATGTACAGCACCTTAGAGGAAAACAAAGCAAGTCAGGATAGAGGGACACTGTTTATTGTAACAACAAGAAACCAAATAATAAGAGCAATAATTTACCGTTAATGTTACAGTGCAAGATTAGATTATCCTCTTCAATTCATAAAAGAATGATTAAAGATTACTTCAATTATTCCATCCTCAGATTGTAATTGTACCATTTTGGTTTACTGCCCAGAACAAACATTCTCCTTAGACTATCTGGTTTGGCCCTAAGTGGAGGGTTTATTGTTTAATAAAAAATTCTATATTTTGGAGGCAAGATCAGTAATTTGAGTAAAAAAGAAAAGAAAAAAAGAAGATAACAAATTAATCATTCTTCTGTGGCAAAAGGATTGCTTCCAATCTGTCTGCAGCTTTAAACCGAACTGGAGTCTTGCTGCTGGCTGAAGTGCAGAGGACAGAGAAGGACACGCAGTGATCAAGTAGAGCTGTGCTGGTTAAATATTGACTTGGAATGTAAAGCTTGAAAAGGATGCCTGCTTGAGGCCTAGGATATTGCCCAGCAGACCACCCTTTCCCTGTAACAGCTGCCGTTGGTATTTGTCAGGGATACTAGTATTCATGTTGTTCGTCAGCAATTTCATTGTTAGTGGGTAACGAAAACAAAGCGTACCACAGCTAGGAAATGGAATAGATGTATATTTGAATTAAGCTGATTGCTGAGTTCCTCAATTGCAAAGCAGTTACATAATTTAAAGAAGTATTTACAGTAGGAATTCATTTACAAGATTTATCATTGTGCATTTGTCTCTCTTTCTTTAAAATTTTTCTGAATCTTGATTAATCTGTGATGTGATGAGTCTCCATACCTTTCAACTTGCTTTTCTTCCTGTTTTCAACAGAGTTTTATATTTTGGAAAACAATGCTGTGCTGAAAGAAGCTGTTTTTAAGAAAAAGAATTCCAGGACCGAAATTAAAATGCTTCACATTGAGGATTACGGTAAATTTGGCAAAATAATATTTTAACAAACCCAAAGCTTTCTTGCATAGTTACTGTTTTTCATCTGTGTAACTACCAGCCTTTAATGTTTTGCTCTTTTCTTAAAAGAACTCCCTTTACAGTTGTCACTGCCAAAAGATTTCACGGACCGAAACCAGTATGCCCTTCTATTGCTAATGTAAGTATTTGTGTGGAGTCCCTCAAAATAATAAAGGAAGTATTTCATAGAAAACATGTAACTTAGTAATTTGTAAATGTTGGGGGGTTTTTGGTGGTTTTGTTTTGTGGTTTTGTTTTTTTGGTTGGTTTTTTTTTTTTTACCTTGTGTAGGAAAATTACCTGATGGATTTCAGTTGATAAATCAAAAGGCTTGTTCTCAGGAAAATTTTGTTATAGGTGCTATCTGGTAGATGCCTGGGGTTTGTTGAGCTTGTCAAACTTAGCTCTGCTTCGTTGTACTTTTATGTACATGAGTCACTGGCCCTTCTGATGGTGTGGCTGTAAGTAATCCTGCAGTCTTTCCTGGACCTTTACTGATCCCTACCCACAGAGCATCTCCTTCAGAGCATGTGCTCCTTTTTTTTCCCCTTTTTATCCCCCATAGAAATGGGTAGAGCTTCTAACAGGAGCTCAGTTAAGATGCATAAAGCAAAACTGCTTTTAGGAACACTGGAGGGAAAAAAAAGTCCTTTTTGAGCATCAATGGCTGAAGGCATTACAGGCATGATCCAAAGTCTGTTGGTGTTCGTAGAAGACCTCTGTGGAGGGAAGGAGGTACTCTGGCACTGTTCTTTGTAAAAGAAGTAGTGTGTGTATTTCTTCCAGAGGCAGTCAGCCTTTAAGCTGCATGTCTACTGGATGCATAGCAGAGGAGGACATCAGTCATGAGCATCCCTGCAGCCTTCCGAGGAAAACAGGTGACGGCCAGCTCAGGGCATCATTTGTTGCTCTCCACCTGAGCTCAACATGGGTCTGCCATGGGTGTAGAGAGCTTTCCTGTTCCTACAGACCTTCTTCCAGTCTTGTTTCTAAGGCATTGATGTGAATTTCGCTCACAGAGGTGTAGGAGTGCAGTGATAATTACATGAAAATACCGATTTAGCTGAGCTGTATCACCTGGAGTAGACCTCCCCTTAGTGACAGCAGAGATCCTTGTTGAGGTATGTGTGGTCAAATGTACAAGCTTGAGCTGCAGAGCAATCCCAAATTCCTCTGCTCAGATCAGATCTTGGATAATAGGGCAAAGAGGCATGCCTCCGCTGAAGTCCCGTTTGTGTTTAGAATGCTGTTTTTCAGTTGTATTTATCTGCAGTTGTGGAGGCTCTCTGCTTTGAGTGGCTCATGAACACGTTTTTATTTTCTTGTGGAGTAACAGAACACATGGATTATTTTATGTTTTACAGTATTTTCTAGCATGGTCTTGAAGCATGATTGTATTTTAAGCAGCTCTTTTAAGTGTGCCAAAGGTAAACTGACTGTGAATTGTCATGAGGGGCATTACATCGAGTTGCAAACTCTTGCGCTTGTTCTTTTTCCTGAGAGTAAGGAAACACTAAGGTGCTAGCAGTGTAATGCTTTCCTTTTTAAGTATCCTAGTAAATATGTAATCTGACATATACTGTAACAGTCGAACATGAGGTTATACATTCATGTAGAACCTAGAGAAGAAAGGAAGGAAAGAATCAGAAACCTGGAGTAGGCCAAGGCCAAAAATGACAGGTAAAGGGAAAAAAGATAAGGAAATACTCTTCAGAAATTGTTTCAGATATCAGGAGTTTAAGTAACTGAGAACAGTATTGAGGCAGGGTCTGAATTTGAACTTAGCAAAGTTGTCAGTACCCAGTGAGTGAATCATGTGGCCAAATCGTAGAATCACAGAATGGTTTGGCTTGGAAGGGACCTTAAAGACCACCTAGCTCCAACCCCCCTGCCATGGGCAGGGACACCTTCCACTGGGTCAGGTTGCTCAAAGCATCATAATCTAGGGATATGTTTTATAGTTGGTTGTTTGTTTGGTTGGTTTGGTGTTTCTCTAGGGATATGTTTTATAGTTGTTTGTTTGGTTGGTTTGGTGTTTTTGTTTTTTTTTTAATGATGTATATGTGGGATAAAAAGGAAATTCATCCACTTATGAATACAAATTGTGGTATCTACTTCTATGATATGGAGTCTTTGCTCCTTTTTACTCAAATCCTTCCCTTTGCAATACTGAATTCTCAGTGTTGGCTTTAATGAGTTATTTTTAGAAAAACCTATACACTAATGAACATATGAAGCCGAAAATGTGAAATCTGTCCTGGCTCATGTGGCGTGGCATGTGTTGTGTCCTCCTCCCTCCTAGATGGGAAAAGTTACATTTCTTCAGCAGCTTTTTACAGATTTTAAACTGAGGTTGCCAGCAATCCTTTTTCGCATTAAAGATGTCCCCAAATGAGAGATAAAACTGAACGCTGTCATTGAAGTTATGGGAGATTCCCTTGTGGGATGATTATTTGAGCCTAATAAATTCTGCCTAGCTCTTGAGAAAGAAGAATTCAAAGTCTGTGTGCATGCAGAGCGTAATTTGTTGACCCACACAACTCCAAATTGACATCTTAAGGTTTATTTCATTGTCAGAAGTACTACTTTCAGCAAAGGAAAAAGAAGTATTTAGGTTCAAGAAGAACACATAGCTTTTACAGGAAACACTGATTAGTTGCATCTATGGTGTCATTTCCCAGATATTTGACTTTCCTGAGTCCCAGGGTGGTTCTTTTGGGACTGATTGAGAAACACCCTGTTCCTGCTGCTAGAAGTGTTAGACAGGAACCGTATTAGTGGCTGCTAACAAGGGCTGCTTTTCATATTGTTCAGCTGCACCTACTTTACAGCTGTTGAAACTTTGAAAAAGAATGCTTATCAATGTTCTTGGTAAGAATGTTGGTTTGTCTATCCATTTTTGGAAAGGAGATCCTATATAACATGATCCATGCAACAGACACTTAAAAGTATATAAGGAAGAAAACATGTATCTGGAAAAGTGAAGTATTAGCAGATATGAAATGGCTTTTTCTTTCCATCTCAGTAGTGCTGCAATTTAACAGGGACTTCAAGAGATGGAGGAAAAGAAGGGAGGTGAGGAAGAGAGAGAGCTTAAATCTGAAATTCGCCTAGTATGTCTGCGTTGCAAATTAAGTGCTTTGTTAAGTGCATAAAAACTTCTAAGTATATGTGAGCTCCCAAGTGCGTATAGGCTTTCGCCCCTAAGGTGGAAGGTAAATATGCCATGTAAGATCTAACAGGCTCTGACTGTTTGGCTGCAGTGATTGCTTCAGAATCACTCCAAACCTCTGGTGAAGATTCATGTTCCCTGTCTCTTACATTTTGCCAGGATCTGGTTTGCCTGTGTGGTCTCATCTCTACCTGCAGAATTTTTGTGCTGGTGGATAGTTTCACTGACCAAAATAAAGTGTTTTTTTGATGGCAGAGGTTTATAATTTTGCTCTAAAATTTCATCAGCGGCGATTGCTTCTGTGTGGTGTTCATGTGCTCTTTGGGGCAACAGGGTTACAGAATTTGTAGATAGATAAAGGGGAGAAGGTTTGATATTATTTGTAACTTTTTTTTCAAGTCATTGAAAGCTAGTAGCCATTTCAATGGTGCACAACTATAATAAGGCTCCAGTATCCATGCAAGGATGCCTGCAGATAAATTTGAACTCCCAGCACATGGCACTCAGGTGTCTGAGTGTTAAGGCTGAATCCTGGAAGGGATTGTGGACCAGTGGATTCTGGTCCTGCTGTGAAACCTGGGTGTGAACTCAGTACGGCTCCAGTTAGATACAAGCTTAACTTAAGGGCCAGGTCCTGCATACCCTATAACCTTCCTCATAAGGATTTTGTGAAGATTTATCCATTAGCCTTTGCAAGGCATGCTGCAGTGTTCAAATAGAAGATTGCTGTGTTGCTGTGTTAAAATTCACATCCATCTGTACAGCTGGGCTACTTAACAGATAGGCCTCATGTAGAAACCAGTTATGTTGGCTAGCACTATTTTTCTTTCTAGAATTGTGATGCATAGGCCATAAAATGCTAAATAGATTGTAGCACTGTCCTTTCTTCCATTTGTTCTCCTAAACCACTAATGCATTTCACACTCAGTTTCCTTCTGATATAATACGTACAGTGTAGCTATAGATTAGAGAGGTGCACAGTAATTGCCTGAAAGAGTGATTATCATCTCTTTTCTATATAATTAAGATCAAAGTTTAAATTTCAGATACTTGATTTTCTCATTATGGTTCACCTTACTCATTAAAAAGTTGGAAGATACACTCCTTGGTAACACACAGGAAATGATTAACTGAAGACTCTGGCATTTAATCTGGATAATAAAATGAGAGGTGATAATCATTCTTTATTTTTTCTTGAACATAATTAACCTTATTCCTTCAAAATCTGTAGATAATGTATCTTAAATGTCAGCATTTATTATTTAAAGCCATTTCAATTTATCCAGTATGTAAGTGGATATTGTAAAACTGAATCAGTGGAGATATTGTTCTGATCTTTGAGAGGGAAAAAAAACCAACAGGCATTCTCCAAAGTAACAGTGAATTGTCGCCAAGAGGTTTCTGCTTGTTTGTTTGTTTACTTGTTTTCTTATATTTTGGTAATAAACAGGAATCACTTCACCTGTTACTGAAATGATGAAAGTTTTAGGCCTTGCAGAGGCAATCAAACCTGTTTATGCCTCCATTTAATACACTCTCGGGACTGATAGCAAGGTAAGACAGTAGGGTTGGAAGTGAAGAAATTTTTTACAGCTCCAGGAGTAACTCATTAAAAGACCAGAAGAAATGTAGAGAGGCATAATGCAAGGACTGGGAGATATTCGAGACCTGAGATACAGTAACACTTTGCGCATTAAGAGCTGTCTTGCGTACCTTTCATTTGTTGTAAAGGGTATTACTCGTTTTAACTGGCAGCTGTTGCAGGTGAAGGAACACTGCGTGGCTATATGGTGAGGTGTAAGATATGTAGTGGATTCCACTACTCTGATTGCAATATGCATGCAAGGGGGACATCCCCAAAGGTCTTTTTCTTTGGCCAGTTGTCCCTCTGTAAAACAGCTGCAAAGTTTTACTTTTTTTGGGATCCCTGAGTTGTGTGTGTGATTCACTAATTGCTTTGCAAACCA